AATAAACTAAAGTACTGGGAGGGCAGTATGTTTTTTCTAATTCACCTGTACTTTAGTGTTAATGCTGTTAGACAATATTGGTGTTGTCTAACTGTTTATGACCTATGAGACTGAACATCAATTTTCTACCAACATTGATGTCATTTCACTGAACACAAACGAAAAAAGCTAAACCTTCCTGATCTATGTGCATTTTATTGCTCACATCAACCTTGAGAAAGTCTTCACCAAATGTTTCCCAAGGGCCAACACTATGCTACGCCCTGGAGGCCCTCAGTGGTACTCAGAGGTACTCAGTGACAAGGACTAGCCACCGCGGTGCCCATGCTGGCTTTCACCTGGAGCAGTGCTGTTCAATGTAAAGACGATTACTTACAATTTTCTATAGCCCCATCTAAAAAGTACAAAGAGACAGGTATAGTTAATTTTAATACTGTATTTAACCCAATAGTATATAAAATATCACCATTTCATCATATAATGAACAGACACATTTTTGAGATAAATTCTTTTTTCAAACTAAGTCTCAAAACCTGGTGTGCATACATGGCGCATCTTGATTTGGAACACCCACATTTCAAGAGCTCCAGTTGACACGTGGCTAGTGTCAACTGTGCTGGACAGTGCAGGTTTAGGGGACAGTTGAACAGGAAGCAAGCACTAAGAGCGGCGTGAGCGCTAAGGCAGGGAACACCGTGCAGCAGGAGCATGTGGGAGAGCTTCTCAACTAACTGTGTAGCACTGGAAAGCGACACTCCAACCAAGCTCAGGAGGATGAGCTGGCAGCAGTCACAGGAAAGGGGAGAGGAGGGCACTTCGATGTTGACGTGAATAGCCAGGGCCTGCAAGGGGGAGTGACTATGCTGTGCTTGGAAGACTATGACAACTTCAGTACGGCTGCAAAAGAGATTATGGGGAGCAAGAGAGATGAAAATGAAAAGGCAGGTAGGAGCCAGTTCACAAAGAGCTTTGCAAACCATGTTAAGGAATTTGGACCTTATTCTAGGGAATCTATCCTTTCTAAAGACTTGAAGCCTGTTTTTATGGAACTGGCAATTTCAGGCTGAAATGTGCTCCTCTTCACTGAAATACAGTGGGGAGAAGAGAGATGGCGATGAAAAGGCTAAAGCTAGATGACCATTTATTAGATGTGATGAAGAGTCTAGTTCTGGGTTAAATGAGTCGCTCAGGCCATTTTCAGTTCTTAGATGTCAGGAATCTAATTCTTCAGCTATTACTGTATTGGAATAGAAATCATGCTTAAAATGTGATCTGTTATTTATAAATTATGTTTGGAGGAAACACTGATATAATACTGTATAACGTTGTTTACATTAAAATCTCTGGCTAGCAGTTCTGAATAGTGCGTATGAACAGTTCTACAGGTTATTTTTGGAATTTTCAAGGTAATTCATGGGAGTTGTAAGTGTTTTGCTCCAACTTGCACCTCAACCCTGTCCTCTGGAGCACCCATCACACGGAGGAGGCATGGAGCTGCAGTTATTTGCCGTGGCAGGAGGCACCAGGCTTTAGGTTTTACAAATTACAGCTAATCACTTCAGTTACTGCATAATGCTACTAAGCATATTGTGATTACTAGTGTGGTGGTCTTCCTTGTTCTGATGGATTATTAGCCTTTTGAATGCAAAGGAAATGATTTATATTTCCATCAATATATGGGTTTTACTATGTGTCGTGAACTGTGGCATATTACCAAGTGCTTGATAACTTTGAATATATTTAGTATGAATTTACTAGAACCAGAAAAGACATTCAAATACAGTCACTGCATACTATAGCCTGCCAAAATACATATTCTTTAAATAAAGATATTACTTAGGAACTGTACTGGGTTGAATAGTGTCCTCCAATGTTCATGTCTACCATGTGAATGTGACTTTATTTGGAAATAGGGTCTCGTCAGATACAACCAAGTTGAGATGAGGACATACTGGACTAGGGTGGGCCCTAAATCCAATATGACTGGTGACTTATCATAAGGGGGAATTTGGACACACAGATGCACAGGGAGAAAGCCATATGGTGATGGAGGCAGAGACTTAGCGATGCATCTACAAGCCTGGAACACGGACTGCTGGCAACCAACAGACACCAGTGATAGTCAAGGAAGCGTTCTCCCCTGGAGCCCTGCTGACACTTTGATTTTGGACTTCCAGCCTCCAGAACTGTGAGAGAATAAATTTTTGTTGTTTTAAGCCACCAAATGCGTGGTACTTTGTTATGGCAGCCACAGAAGTTTAATTCAAGGACCTTCCTGGGCCCTCCATGGCTGCCACATTTCCTTTATGAAATACTCTTAAGAGACTTCTATTTAATGTATTTGACAGATTAATCCTTTTCTCTGTCAAACAAGTTATCTCAGGGTAATACTCGGTTCTCTAGCACCCTACAGAGTCCTGCTCCCACCAAAAGGCCGTACGCTTACAGCCCAGAGCACTTCCTATTTCCATTACACAATTTGATCAACTATTACTGAAACTGGTGAAATATGAATGCAAAAGGAAAGGCAGCTGCTGCTTCCATGAAAACTAAGTTGTAGACTTTGGAAACTCTTGATAAAGATGAGTCACATAAAAAAATGCAATCAAATTAGATGTGGATGAGGTAATTATAAAAGACTGAAAAATACTGAAAATTTAGAAAATATGCTTATTCAGACTGCTTTGTAAGTACCTTTGAATTCTTACCTAATTTTAATAAAAATAAAATCAGAGCTTATTGAAGAGATGCTATGGGTGTGGTTTATGTGGAGTGGACTTTGTGGAACCGCGATTAGGACCCAAGTATGTCCATATTTATATGTATATGCAAAACACAGGTTCTACAATTCTCCACTTGCATCAGCTTTTTCTATTAGCCACACAATCGTAACTTCAGACTACAGTAAATATAAGGGTTTCTACTACAAGCAGACGCTTATTGCACCACGATTTTACTCAGTCCCTTACTCGTCTGTGAGCTTCATGAACACAGAGGCTCCTCCGCTTCCTCCCACTCTTCCTTCAGTGCTCAGTGTAATGCCTGGTAGGGAGCAGTCTCTCCCCAAATATTTTTTTGAATAAATGAACATAAAATAGAAATCCATTTTTTGTTTTTCCCTTTTCCAAAGAATTACATCATCATCAATAAAGTTAAATGATTATAGGCTGATTTGAGCCATAAAAATGGATTCATTATAGAGAACTCAATCTTATTTTAATGGCATTTGCTAAAATGGGGTTTTACCTACATATATATGAATATTTTCACTTTTACTATATCATTTGTCATAGCCCTCGTATGTTTTTCACACCATAATCTTTCTGACAATACTTAAATTGTTTCTTTTCTACAACTTCATGTAATTTCTATCTAATACCACAGTGTTACTTCCCCAAGTTTGCAGATCAGGATCCTGAGACAGAAAAGTTAACTTAATTCCCAATTATTCCTCAAATTCATGAGTTTCCAAATTCTAGATTAGTACTGACATTGCATTAACTGGGTTGTAACCTTGAAGAAACTCCTGACACTCCCTGAGCCTCAGTTTTGTCAGTTAGCAGATGAGGTATTTTGACTGGATGATCTCTAGGATGCCCTCTTGCCCAGAGTCCTCATTTTCAGCACCATAAAATTCTGGATTTTCATATAAATAAAAAAAGTGGCTTCTCACTGCTCTTCTTTCCAATATGGGAGACAGAGAACAACACACACAGCTAGTTAAAGAATGACAGAAGGGATAGGTGGAGATGTGTTCATGAGGATGGAGTGGGAGGAGAGAAAGGGAGTCAACACAGAGGGTGAGTTTAATGTCAGCTAGTCTAACTCTTTTTGAGAAAATATACCATGGAATATCTTGTGCTCATATAACCCACAAGAATTTTGCTCTTACTTGCCTAAAGGGATCTCAGTGGTAAGTTGGAAGGGCCTTGAGGAATGCAGCTTAAAAAATTAAAGATGCAGTCAATGCTTTATATTTTATTATCATAAGTAAAATATAGTCTTAATAAATTATGTCATAAAACAGTTGCTATATAATCTCCAAATCTTGATCCAAGTGGATTTATAATTGTTTTAGTCCTTAAATTATGGATAATATTAAGATAGAGGCAATCAACATTAGGTTCCTTTTATAAGCTACAAATATTCCTTTTTTCTACTTCTTTTGCTACTTAAGCAACTCAATAGGAACCATTGAAAAGAAATCTTAACACATTTGGTAAATAAAAGTGATGTACGGTTTCAGATGGTCCAACAAGACGAAGAATTTACCATTGGAATTGTGTTAAATAACTGCAGGAGTTGTATTTTGCCTTGAAAAACTTTCATCACGAAACACAGCTATGAAACAACTTTGGCTTCAAACAGAAAGGCTCTAACAAAGCGCCTCCTAGCTAGACTTGGGTTCAGGAGGTTTATGGCGGCGAGAAGCAGAAAAGAGGAAATGTTTCAATAAGCCCCTCGGGCTGATGGAGTCAGCATTCACAAAGTGGAATAACCTACACATCACATACCCTTTGTTAGCTGGTTGTTTAGAACAGATGGATGAGTCACTGGATTTTATTTTAGCAATTGGGCAATGCAATTCTCCTTTTGCCCAAAATATTAAAATGCAGAAATGTGAAACTAAGAGAGGTAATGTCAGATCTTATACAGAATGCTCATCAACCACTGTGATGGATCCAGAAATTCTTCTGGTCTTGTGATTCCACGTTTCACCTTGGTAGGCACAAATGACAAATCACCTCATGCAAAAAAGAAGCCTATTATTAAACTAATCAGCAAACTACAGCATATTTTAAAAAAATTGTGTATGGGGAAGAGGTGTTCAAGGAGGGAAGCTTATAAACCAAAAGAAAGCTGGCATGAGAGAAAGATAGGCAAGATTCTATCCTGCATGATTTCAAGTACAAATGAATCCCTCTGGGAGTTTGGGGAATTTATATATATATACATATATGTTTTTTCTCTCAGACACTGTTCAGAATTAATGAGGGTACCTGCGACGATGCTGGCAAGCTGCTGGGTTCTGGTGATGGGGTAGATGCTGCGTGCCTGAACGATTGCTGAAGCGATTTTCTTGGCATGCTTCTCCTCCCCGTATGTTCTCAGGATGGATGCAAGTGCCTGTTGATCTAAAGCGTTCACAACATCAGCTGCGGTGGGCATGTCAGGGTACCTACGCACAAGAAGAGCCAATTAGTTCACTGACGTCAGTTTTCATTGACAAGAGGTGAGACTTCAGAGTACTGAGACATAAAGTCAGGCATGCACACATAGTCTAAGAGAGCTTCTGAGGTTTTTAAAGTCAGAGACTGAAATCTTACACAAATGAAACAGATTTTCCATTTCAAATACCCATCATTATGACAAGTGGGGACTGTGTGTGACATTCATCAAGGTTAAGGGTAGCAGGAAGTTAAAATATTTTATTAATCTTTAATTCACAAAGAAGTTATTATTACTCATGCAGATTTCCCCGAAACTAAAATAATGGAAAATGTTTGGACTTAGTTTGTTCAAAATTTAAATTACTGCTTGAATTTGTTTTTCAGTATAGAGGATACAAAGTTTACTGACTGATATTTAAATGAGCCTAAATCTCAAATACTTAACTAAATCTAAGATTGTAAAGGAACCAACTACTTATATGGGGGCACAAATTGAACTTATGAAGTCTATATGAGAAGATACTGCAGGTCAGTTTTCCTCACAAAAACTAGAACAATCTTAATGGTAATAATGTATATTATTTCAGCTATTTAACAATATTGGCTTATAAACCCATGACAAAAGTTGCCATGGGGTAAAACCTGGTAATCAACAAATAGTACTAAACAAGTCTAGATGATAATTTCACGTGAAGGAGACAAAGCAAGACCAACTTCTGACCAAATAGAATAAATCATAATAGTAGCAAATAGCATTCATTCTGTCTGACCATTCCGGTTTACCTTACTTTAGGAAACGGGTCAAGGAATTCTAAGTGATGACCTAACTGAGACTTTTCTTATAGAAAGACAGCTTTGCTAATAGTATTCTTGTAGTTAATATGCTGGCTTGATTGTTGGTACCATACCGTGAGGACTTTAGGTAACAAGGAGATGGTAGCTTTAAGACCTAAGGATCAAACCAGAGTGGGGTTGCCAAGAAACATCTGAATACCTCCTCAAAAATACTACACTGCACTTTGCTAACATGCCTAGTGCCTCCAGGAGAAGATGTTTTTGCTGTCCTTGGCTTGTCCTCTATTTTGCCATGACTTCCATCTCTCTCTCTCTCTCTCTGTCTTCTCTCTCTCTCTCTCAGTCAAACCTTGCTTTCCAGATCCTGCAATTCTTGTTTTATTCCTGGCTGCCATGGCACCCTGAGACCAGCGAACGTTCTATAAGGCAGCCCTGTTTCCATCTAATAGGATTTGCTCCTTCAATAACAGCTTTAAGGATGAAGATTTGGTCTTTAGAGTCAGATCGACCTAGATTAGAATCCTGGACTTGCTACACATATTGGGTAAGCTTTTTAACCTATTGGAGCCTCAATGTCTAACTTGTGAAATAAAAGTAACAATGCTTACCTCACAGAATTGTCTGGAGAATCGAAGGTGCATGCAATTGTAAAATATAGTGTAAAGCCTGGCACAGAGAGAAGCTCAGTGAACGCCAATGTCCCTTAGATCTTGCCATTCCTAGATTTGCCAATCGTCATTCTTGGCCTAACTGACAAAATGCCTGACAGATCTTACCTAGTTGTGAATTCAACTGCCCAAATCACCGGGTGTTAGAATGAACCTTGTTAATGATGTAAATTCAGACTCCATAGGATATAGTGCAGTTCTACCAGGGCAATTCTAAGATTAGTATGGCAGTTTTTTATACCTTCCTACTTTCAGATTTTTTTTTCATTTTTCCTTTTTCTCCCCAAAGCCCCTCCCCCGCCCCCAATACAAAGCTGTGTATTTTTAGTTGTGGGTCCTTCTAGTTGTGGCATGTGGGATGCCGCCTCAGCATGGCTTGATGAGCGGTGCCATGTCCATGCCCAGGATCTGAACCGGCAAAACCCTGGGCCGCTGGAGCGGAGCGCATGAACTTAACCACTCGGCCACGGGCCTGGCCCCCAGTACCTTTCTACTTTTAAATAAGAAAATTAAAAACAGCATTTCACTCAAATATAGTTAAGTCGATAACAGGCACAATTTTATTTTACTCTTATGTTAACACTGAATAGCAGGATGGAAGTTTCTATAGTGCTACAAGGCAAAAGGGGCAACAGTGGAAAAGCCAGCAGGCTGCTAGGAGACTTCAGAATAGGCATTCATGTAGTGAAGAGGACACAAAATCTGTCCCCCAACTTAACAGCCTAAGCCATCTTGTCAGTCCTGCAGAGACCACCAATTTACAGTGACTACATTCACAAGACAAGGAAAATATTAACATATGTGGCCATTTATTTATTACTTTCTAGTGAAGAATACAGCTGACAACAGAGTTAGACCTGCAAGTCCTTGAAGCTGTGAGTTGCCTTCTGCTACGTGATAGCTCTATCATAATCCGAAAGCTGCTGTTGAAGCTGGGATGGCACAGAATAAACTGTGCTGTAAGGTCCCAGGGTTACGTGGCGACAGGTGAAGAAAGCCTCTTGCATCGACCTTCATCACCAGGATGTAGCAGCCTCCAGGAGCTGACCAGTCATATCCTTTGGCTTTGACTCCCTCTCCCCATAACACCACTTGGATTGGCATTGCTCATATTTACATCTCTGACTCTCCTTTTTCTATGAATTCACGAGAACCAACTCCCCCTTTCTGAACGTCGCATCCTGTCTTCAGATCTGTTAGTATCTCTGATTACGGTGCAGTCTATGCCATCTACCTGGAAGCCATCCTGCCTTCTAAGACATGTGTGCTCATCTCTAATCTCATCCATTATGTATTAACTTAAGAGTTTAATTCTCAAGGGCAATCTTATCGTCAAGTTCTTAGGTGAGAACCTCAGAACCGTGATTCGCAGACCACAATTTGCTGTAAGTCTGTACCTTAACAATATAGAGGTTTACTACCGTTAGCTAGAAGCTTTGCTCATTGTATTTCAGAAGGCGTCCTCCTTAGCAAGACAGAGGAAAAGCGGAAATTCGCTTGACATTTTATTACCTCAGCACAACCACCTCAATCTCCAAACACGAGAAGATATTTGACCTTTACTATTAGTCACTGGTTTTTAAAGGATTTTTATTATTTTCTCTTATGATCACATTTTTCATTCTATGAATGCCAACTTGTGCAAAAGAAGGTATAAGACTAAGAACAGAAAGGTTCCAACAAGAATGGGTCACAATCCAAGGTAACAGGTCATATCAAAACATGGGGAAAAGGCTACATGTGAATAATTACCATGGGACAAAGCAGTTTGTCGGAAAGAAGTCAAAGTCAATTCAATGTTGATTTATTGCCTTAAGTTGGACTTTACATTTCTTATATATAGGTCCTTCTAATAGGCTGGAAGAAACTTTGGAAAACCTATTTGTTTCCGTAGAAATGTTCATGCAGGTCTAGAATTGCAGACTACTAACAGTAACATAATGGTTTGCTTATTTAGATATAAGAAAATCTAACGTTCCTAGAAAGTAAGCTGCCCAAAGGTAGGGGCCATGATACATAATTTGGTGGGGGTGGAGGGGTAGGGACACGAAATAAGGGAGAAAAGCAGGGTTAAGCTTTGCAGGTACCGGCTGTTCAGTCCCTGGGCCAGTGTGGGGCACAGAAACAAGTGCTAATCTAAGCTTTTAAAATTAACTTAGATCTAAAAGAAATTATCCTATACTTTCCTAGAATGTGATCCTCTTTGCGTTACTAAATATATAAATGTACCTATTTGGATATGGAGGACAAACGCTAGTATTCCCAGGGTGGTGAGGTGAGGAATGAAGAGGTGGTGTAAAGCCGTCCTATGCATAGTACTGTGGGGGGGGGGGGTTTGGAGGAAGATTAGCCCTAAGCTAACTACTGCCAATCCTCCTCCTTTTGCTGAGGAAGACTGGCCCTGAGCTAATATCCATGCCCATCTTCCTCTACTTTATATGTAGGACTCCTCCTACAGCATGGCGCGCCAAGTGGTTGCCATGTCCGCACCCGGGATCTGAACCGGAGAACCCTGGGCCGCCTAAGCAGAACGTGCGCACTTAACCACTACGCCACTGGGCGGGCCCCTGCATAGTACTGTGTTTGACATAGTACCACAAATTGTAGTTTGTCTTGAGAAGATTGAACCCAAGTGACTGTTTAAGAGACCAGACAAAACACACAATCGCTGACCTCTAGGATCTTGTCTTTTATGTAGCATTCAATAGAATATGCATTAAATATAGTTCCCTTTACTCCACACAAGACGCATAGTTGGGCCTACAGAAAAATGGAACCATTGTTTAAGCATCATATTTATCAATTTTGTTAGTAGTCTAAAAGCTAACATTGTTTCCATAAAAAAGATAATCAGTATGAAAGTTATCCTCCTCACTATTTTGTGTAAAGACAGCAATGATTTTTTTTGTTTAGAATCCCAAATCTAGAAAAACTGTAAAGTCTATAATGAGTAGCAAACAAAACTGATTTATTATGTATGGATAGTGTTAGGTGTGGGCGTGTGATTGGAATTCTGCAGTCTTAAAAGGAAATTAAATTCCAAGTGTTTTTGAGAAATGGATTTCTCGTTGTGAGAAGAAGTGCTTTATCAATACTCACCTGCCGCCGTCCATTCTCATGTCCAAGGGACCGTCCTTCCGAAGGGAAAAACCTCTTTCAGGAGCATCAAGTTGCATGGAAGAACACCCAAGATCCAAAAGAACTCCATCCAAAGTCTCTGGCTGCACTCCAGCTTTCATTAATAAGGCTTCCGCCTGGCTGAACTGGCCCAGCATGGCTCGAATCTGTTTACTGTGAATAAACCCAGGAGATGGAGAAAACACTTCTGTTATACTGAAGTCTTTCTTAAGGTCTATGATCAACGGTAGGGAGCACATCCTATTATTATATCATTCAACCAATATATACTTACTAAGTGCCAACCACATGCTTAGTACTATATAAAGACATATGGATATGGAAACTCTACATCTTTGGTTTCAACACCAAAGGTGATTTAACATAATTTTGTTCTTGCTAATAAACACAATTTATTTTATACCTTTGTGAAGGTATATAATAAATTTATGAATTAGAAAAATTCCTTTGTCAGACCAGGTCTTTCATTCTTTCTTAAAAAAAGTTCTTAAATCTATGGGTTTGGAAAAGAAGCATATGCCATTCCCTCAAAAGAATAAATTTAGAGATAACAAATGCTGGTGAGGATGTGCAGAAAGGGGAACTCTGCGACTTCTTGGTGGGATTGTAAATTGGCACAGCCACTATGGAAAACAGCATGGAGGTTCCTCAAAAAATTAAAAATAGAACTACCATATGACCCAGCAATTCCACTTCTGGGAATATATCCAAAGGAAACGAAAACACTATGTTAAAGAGATATCTGCACCCCAGGGTTCATAACAGCATTATTTCCTATAGCCAAGACATGGAAACAACTTCAGTGTCCATCAATGGATGAATGGGTAAAGAAGTTGTGGTATATGTACAACAGAATATTATTTAACCAAAAAAAGGGGAGAAGGAAATCTTACCATTTTCGAGAACATGGATGGACCTTGAGGGCACTGTGTTAAGTGAAATAAGTCAGACAGAGAAAGACAAATACTATATGACCTCACTTATATGTGGAATCTAAAAAGAAAGAGAGAAAACCAAACTCACAGAAAAAGAGCTCAGATTTGTGGTTACCAGAGGTGGGGGTTGGGGAAAGGGGAATTGGATGAAGGTGGCCAAAAGGTACAAACTTCCAGATAAATAAGATCAATAAGTACTAGGGAGGTACTGTACCACATGATGACTACAGTTAACACTGCCGTATAGTGTATCTGAAAGCTATTAAGAGAGTTAATCCTAAGAGTTCTCATCAGAAGGAAAACAACATTTTTTTCTTCTTTTACTTTTTGTATCTATATGAGATGATGGATGTTAACTAAACATTGTTGTAAATCACTTCACAATCCGTGTAAGTTAATTCATTATGCTGTAGACCACATACAGTGCTGTATGTCAATGATCTCAGTAAAACTGGAAACAAAAGAACAAATTTAATGGGTAAGCCAATTGAAATATAATAATAAAACAGAAATCACAGAAAAAACATATGTCAAACATCTTCAAGCCAACCATTTTAGGTCTCTCCATATTTTTCCCATAATTTAGGATCAGGCTGCTGTGCAGCTGCACACTTGAAGAATGAAACTATGCCTAAAGTAAACCCCTTCTTGCAGAAGCAATGTTTTAGCTCTCAGCAGAGATTCTGAAGTGAATGGAGCATTCAGAATCAACAGACAGGCAAGGAGGTGGGATCACCTAACAGCTATACTAATTCTCCTTCCTACACAAAGTAAGATGTTGCCTTCAGGGTTCTTCAGAAGCCTTAGGGCAACTGACAGGCATTTTGGAAGGGGAATGAGAAGAGAAAAATTGGGCAACACTCCCAAGACCTCATTCCCTCCGTCTACAGGTGGGAAGAGTGAGTGTGGATTTCATCAGTGTTGGGGAATTCATATTTATGATATTTACTTTTTTTTTTTTTGAGGAAGATTAGCCCTGAGCTAACTACTGCCAAATCTCCTCTTTTTTTGCTGAGGAAGACTGGCCCTGAGCTAACATCCGTGCCCATCTTCCTCTACTTTATATGTGGGACGTCTACCACAGCATGGCTTGCCAGGAGGTGCCATGTCCACACCTGGGATCCGAACCAGTGAACACTGGGCTGCCGAGAAGTAGAACGTGCGAACTTAACTGCTGCACCACCAGGCCAGGCCCTATGATATTTACTTTTATCTATGTTGTTTAAGGAGTACTTCACAGCTCATTGGTAATGTTTTCTCAAATTCTGATGGAGAAAGTGATTTTCAGATTCACTCACCAAATACTCACTGAATTATCTGCTATGCGTCCAGCAGTATGTTATTCGGAGGTACTTAAAGATTGATAAAGCATGGCTTTCTGAACTTTGAGCTGAGAGGAAGAGATATGTAAATAAACAGTTTGCGAAACAACTTGATGAGTGCTAACAGTAGAGAGATAAACAGATTGCTATGTCTGTATTTGGAAAATATAAAATGAATGCTAATACATTGAAAACAAAAATAATAGAATCTTGGGATTGGAAGGCAATTCACACATCATGTATTCCAATTATTTAACTGATGTTTGAACATTTTCCCTCTCCACTGTCACTGCTGGGGGGCAGGGAGGAGGGTCACTGTTTTAATTACCTCCCACTCACCCCATTGGTGAGGGAGGGATTCCCATTCTAGGATTATGGAAACGGCCGAACACGGGGCGCCTGACACTGGACACATGAGACTGACAGGAGTTTACAGTTACATGTACTCACAAGGGAGGAGCACACCACACGCCATGCCTGGCTACATGGGGGATGCACTCAGGACAGAGTGGGCAACCAGAGGCTGTGAGAAGCAGGTTTTGTGGTATCAAGAGGGTAGGGTGCCATTGGTTCCCATGAGAGGATGTGATCGGCTTATTTGAATAATGCCATGAGCTAGCAGGGAACTGACACCTGCTACTCAGGGGTAAGCAGATATTGTGCCTGATCGCTTTGATAAGGAGGGTCCTTTGACTGAGGATCCGTATCTGTGGGACCTCAGAGGGAAGGAGAACTTGTAGTTAGGCATTCGAGGCTCTCCCAGTGTCCCCAGTGGTCAACAACACATAATAATGGGCTTTAATTTAGGGCCTTATACCAGTCAAGTCTGCTACCTCATGTTTGAACATTCCCAGTAGTAAGAAGTCACTGCTCTCTTTTTTTGTCTGTGTGAGGAAGATTGGCCCTGAGCTAACACCTGTGCCAATCTTCCTCTATTTTGTGTGTGGGATGCTGCCACAGCATGGCTGATGAGAGGTGTAGGTCTGTGCCCAGGATCTGAACCTGCAAACCTCAGGCTGCTGAAGAGGAGCACACAAACTTAACCACTACGCCACCAGGCTGGCCCTCACTACTCTTTTTTTAGCCACTTCTTTTTTCAGTTAAGTTGATAGCTGTTTCCTCACTATTTCTATAATTTTTATCCCTGGTATCAGTCCATATAAAGCAATTGAAAGTCTATCGCTCCACAGCCTTTTACATATCTATTAGGATATTAGGGATATTTACTGGCTGCCTCTTAGTTGCCAAGCTCTCTGTTCCAACAGCTCTGCAAAATTTCAGCCACGTGTTTCGACAGAGACTGGTCCTATCTATGATGGTTTAGGTGTCAACTTAGCTAGGCTGCAGATGCAGTTATTGAATCAAACAGTAATGGAGGTGCTGCTGTGAAGGTGTTCTGTAGATGTGGTTAACACTACAATCAGCTCCCTTTAAGTAAAGGATATTACCTTCAGGAATGTGGGCAGGCCTCATCCAATCCGCTGAAAGGTGGTACGAGAAAAAACTGAGGTTTCCCTGAGGAAGAAGAAAGTCTGCCTCCGGACTGCAATACTAGATCCTGTCAGAGTTTCCAGCCTGCTGACCTGCCCTACCGATTTCAGACTTGCCAGTCTTCACAATGTGTGAGCCAATTCCTTGAAATAAATCTCTGTATATACTGTGCGTATGTACATGTATGTATGTATGTATATCCCCCACTGGTTCTATTTCTCTTGAGAATCCTGATGGGTATAACATCTCAGCCCAAAAGGTAGATTTCTGATTAGCTAAGCTAATTTGAACACACCATCCCCACGACCCCTGAGGTAATTTTTTCAGAGATTGGCATGTGTCACAGCTCTGGCCAATGAGATACAAGAGATATTTCCTAGGGAGTTGGGAAAAGAAAATTCTTCTTTCTTCCAATAAGCTACTCAAGGAAAAAGGTTTTTCAGACTTTCATTGCTATGAAAAAAGCACATAACCCTGATTATTGCCAGCAGATGTCTTAACTCAAAGAAGGGAGAGGGTGGCAGCCAGTTTTGGCCAAAACTGTAGAAGGCAAAGTAGAAAGATTAACCAGGCCACTAGACTGAGTCGCACCTAAAACCCCACCTGTCTGAATTCTTAAGTTACATGAGCCCGTAAATCCGCTTTGTTAGTGACGCCCAGTGGGAACGGGTTTTTCTTTTACTTGCCATGGAAACCATCATAACTACTACAGCTATCATGCTCCTCAAGTCTCCTTTCCTCTAAACCATACAGCTTCTTTCTTCTGCTATTCTCCATACAAAGTATCTTTCACCATGCCAGCTGTTCTTGTCTGAATGTCTAAGGACACAGTTTGCCTGTATCCTGAGATGTGAATTCCATAATGGTCAGCACAGAATAAATTCTTGCCTCTCGTGTTCTACTTATTATATTAACGCAGCTGGAGATCAGAGCAGTTGTACAACTGACTTCGCACTGCTGACTTGGATGACCTGCGCCCCGAGGCTTTGTCCTGGACACCACTGCTCAGCCTGCTCCCTCCTCACTGTACTTGCACAGTTTTGTTTTGTTAATTGTTTTTGATCTAAGGACAATTTCTGCTCTACACATTTTCGACAACCCTTTTAGGATTCAGGTATTATCTTTAACCACAGAAATCTTCTTTACACTGCAGCAAAAGCCTAAAAAAAAAAATCACTATTGTCCAGTCTTTATTCCTTAGGCATTACAACTATTATCATGGTTGAAGCTAATATTCTTGTAAAATAAAAATAAAACCTCACAGGGGATGCTTGCATTCTTGGGTGCCCTCAAATGTAACTGCTCAACATACAATATCCATGCAGTTTTATGCCTCACTATGAGTAAATAACAAAAATGTAATCCTTGTGGTACAAAACTCAGCATAATGATATATAAGTATGAG